GTCTGGAGGTTAATCCATTCCATGTGGCATTCAACAGTTCTCAGGGGGGAGACACTCTGTGAAATCCTTCTTTTTGCTTTGCAACAGCGCCAAGTCAAAATGTTCAATGGCTCAGTCCCCAAGATCCTGTCATCTTCCAATTGGGTCATACTCCCTTTGGCCCTCCCATTGGTACCCCTGCACCCATCCGACGACCCTTGGAATCACTCAAGATGATAGCCAACATTGCTAGGTTTGCCCATGATTGAATTGTGTTCCAAAATTGTTTACATCCCCCGCAAGCCTAACCCCTAACCCTAACCCCTAACTGTGTGCGCAATATTTTGTCCCCTAGCCTCCGCCTTGATTCTGGCAGCGCAATGTTAAAATTGTTTATATCCCCCACAAGCCTAGGTTCCAAAAGATGTCACAGAGCTAAGGTAAGGGTTCCATCAGAGATACCTGACATTTCCAGAGAGAATGAGCCCTCACTGAAGGAAATTGGACCTGGTATTGAAAATGTATTCAGGAATATGTCACTGTGAGTCATAAGATCAAAAATATGCTGAAGGGGGTACAAATTTGTGGATTTAGATGTTCCCACAGAGGTCATAGGGGTTACAACAATGCTCCATCAGGAAGACCCCACATTGGCAGAGAAAATCAGCCCTTATAGATGCAATTTGGACAAGATTTGAGAAAGTTGTGAAAAATGTTGTGTCTCTCACTAGACACGATGCCCACAAATATGTGTTCTTGAGTCAAAATTTTGATGGAATTCCAAAGTGATGTTATGCTAAAACTTCCTTAATGAACCCCCCCTAAAAAACCCTAAAGAATTCCTTGGAACGATTCCCGCCATCAAAAGACAAATATTGGCTGAGGTATAGGCCCTTGCTATTTGCAGCCCACACAAAATCCATGTAGGCGCTGCCAAAACAGCGCCTACATGAAGGTTTCCCACGAAAAAGCGCCTACATTTATGATGTAGGCACTTTTTCCTTTTTCAAATGACACCTACAGGCTGAAAAACCAATTTAGGCGTCATTTGTGTATGCCTACATTCTAAAAGTAAAATGTAGGCATAAATTTGAAGCACATGCATTGTGTAGGCGTCACAAAAATGTGCCTACATCTTTTTTTGACTGTAGGTGTAATTTTTGTGCGCCTACATATGTTAATACCAACACCCTTATAATTGATTATAAGACCCTTATAATTTATAATCAAATGCGCACTCTTACATTGAATACCCTTAACATTTAATACCAACACCCTCATAATTAATCTCACCACCCTTATAATTGTAATTTAACACCAACACCCTTATATATCAATACCAGCACCCTTATAGAGTTGTATTCACACGTGTATAAGACCCTTATAACTAACTTAAGCGCCTACATGGAAAAAACAATGTCGGCGCTCAAAAAAAGCGCCTACATCTTATTTTTGAAATGTAGGCGTACACAAATGACGCCTACATTGGTTTTTCAGCCTGTAGGCGTCATTTGAAAAAGGAAAAAGTGCCTACATCATAAATGTAGGCGCTTTTTGGCGGAAAACAACCATGTAGGCGTAATTTGGACAGCGCCTACATGGATTTCATGTGAGGTGCAAATAGCAACGGCCGAGGTATACTCATAGAGAAATGTGTATCAAAATTTCAATGACCCAAAGGAGTGACAAGAAGGCATTTTTTTGGGGAAAGTTCTCATTAAATGCAAAATGAAATTCCAATTCCAACAACTTTCATTAGTAGAATTTTTTATTGGACCAACATTGAGTGAGATATGGTGTGAGCTACTAGCGTCTTTCAGGCTAGTAAGTCACTTAATAGAAGGAGGGGAATAATAAACTGAGTTTATTATTATAGTGAGAAACTTATTTAAAGTTTTAAATAAGATTGTAAGAGAAGCAGCGGGATCAAATCCCCACTGACTTCAGTTAGATGACCTCTCAACAGAGGATTTTGGATACAAATCCAGGGATTAAGGCAAGACAAGAGTCTTCTAGCCGGATAACAATGGACAACTGGCACCCAGTTTTGTGCCCAAGATAACTACACTCTACTATAGAGTTGTTAAGCAAGGGAAATATCACCTAGTGATATTTCAAAGTTCTTTAGACTCTGAACACAGAGGAACTCCTGTGAGTTTAAAGTTTCTCAAGTTGTTGGATCCCTTTAACAACTTGAGCAATACTCTAGGATCACCTCCTGACAAAAATAAAGAAGTCTTCAAAAGAACTTCTAGAAATAACAAAAGCAATGATCAATGAGTGAAATATACAATGTCTAACAAAGAGGACAAGGACTCTTATTTATCTGATTGATGATGTTTACTGATAATTTGATGATATGTAATGATGATGATGGACTTTCCTGGCGGGTGGGAGAGCTCTTTATATACTCACAACCCAGAAAATCCCTCACGCACAACCTGTGGTTGGATTACATACTACAAGTTGGTATGTAATCATTTTTAATTATTTAATTCACAGGGGCCAAAACAAGAGCTCACATAGAGGTGAGCATGAAAAGCTTCAAGTTTTCTCCAAGATTTCTACCTTTTTCCTTCCAAAACTGAGTGCGTTCAGCTGATGTTCATCATGTAATCAGACATGATCAACATGAGCTGAGAGCTGGGCAGATGAGCCAGGCTTCCTCAGGTTTTATTGCTTAGCCAAGGAGCCTGAGGGAGGACTACCTGATCCACTAAGGTCATCTCAGGCCCTGCCTGAACGCTCAGTGTGTACAGACAATTGTATGTACATCACAGGAAGCCTCAATCCCTCCTTTGTTGAGGAATTTTTATTACATGCAACCACTTGAAAGTGGAGATTAACAAATCCCAAACTTGGCCTTTCCCTTTTCCTCGCAAACACTCCTTGAGGACCAAGGGTTTGTGACCGAGAGGTACAGGTTAAGTTTGAACAAAGCCTGCATCTCAAGACCTGTCTTTATCTCACATGACATGACAAAAGCCATCACCAAAACAGCCATTCACAACTACGACTATACTACCGCTGTCTACCGCTATTGATTCAAATTCAAATTCAGATGGAAACGACGCTAGAACAACTAAACCAACCATTTAAATTCCAAACCATTGCTATTTACTAAATCACATCATACTATATTATCAGTAGCTTCATTAATTACTCTTAGACATTCATCAAGCCATCAAAATCAAACTATTCTTAATCAATCTAATCTCATCAAGTGAAGTAATAGTATTGGAGATTTTAAATCAATCTCACCTTCATTCACTTCATACAATTAAGGGTTGTCTTTGTTGATTCGTGGGCGAACAAAACGGAAAGATAAGTTGTCTTCTGTCACAACGTCTGATGAGAACGATGATACCAATCTTTTTCAAGTATCACCAGAATTTCTCCTCTCTTCATCTCATCCAATGACTCCAAGCATGCAACCCACCTCACCTTAAAATCAATCCAACTCACTTGCTTCAAAGGCTTTGACCAAAGCCAAAGGTTTAAGGTCAAACACGTCAGTCTTGTCTGGGATACCCGTTCAACGCTTAGACATATTTATCAACAGTGGGATCACAAGAAAGAGTTTGAGAAATTGAATGATGATGATGATGAAAATGAGGAATTAGCATCAGTGGACACAAGGTTAGAAACTGATAGCGAGTTCGATTTTGACAGTCACTATGCATTGATCCACATCAAAAATATCAAATATCAAGGAAGATTTTCTGATTCAACTCTAGTCTCTGTGAACTGGTGAGCAGTTATTTCATGTTTTTCAATATCTGTTACTCCACAATTGCATCTGGGTTTTACTTTGTTTATAATCTTTGCTTTCAATCTTTGATTTCAGTTGATTCTAGTTTATCAAACTTCTCGGAGGAATTTCAAACTGCATCTAGATCAAAGACTCCAATCGGTTCACAAAAACCTAAGGCTATACCAAAACCTTTGAGTTCTTCTATTCATTCAATTGGTTTGACTTCTGCTTCAATTCATTAAAGTTCCTCAGCGGATCAGAGTACTTTTAGATCTCATGCTCATAATCCAAACATAGTAGTCAAAGTAGTCCCACCTAAACCTCTTAATCCAGAATAATCAAACCGACCCCATTCAAATCGAATTCAAAAGCACCAGTCAGACCAATTATCCCAATTCCTAGAACAAAATCAACTTCAAACCCTCAATTATATAAAGAAAGCTTACCTATTATTGGAACTTCATCTAATTTAAATTCTTATAAACCTAATCCAACTTCTGATCCAAACTTGAATCCTAATTCTGTTACACCATCAACTTCGAATTCAAATCTAAAGAAACCAAGTGGTTTGTTTATGCCAAAAACTAAAAAACCTCCACCTACTCCACTTAGATCAATTGTTTTGGTGCCTTTAAATCAAACTAAAACTTTAACTCGTATGTCTTGACCACCACCACCAAATAAAAGATCAAGGATACATCTGACTTGGATTTGGATTTGTCTTTTCTTCTGTTTTCTTTTGTTTAAAACTTAGAAAAATCTTAACTTGGATTACATATTTTCTCTCTCTCATTCCTATAATTCGACTTTGAATTCCTTATAGATTTTTTCTTTGTTTTTTGTATATGTACACATAATTTCTTTTAATATATTTGATTAAATTCTTGAACTTGGAAACAAATCAAAATCTGTTTTTTTGTTTGCAAAAGGAAATACATTACATCAAAGAGAGAGGGAAAGCAAATTGATGAAAGTTTTGATACAGATTTAATGGTATCTAAAAGATGATCATGTAAATTTGGATGAGATGCTACAATTCCTTCATCTTGAATTAAAGCTTTACCTAAATTGAAGTTCAAAGGTTTACCCCACAAATCAGTTACTTTACCAACTGCTTATTCCACCAATAAAGTACCAGAAGCATGATACTTTTTACCAAAAACAACACAAGCATCATGATTAGTTTTGTTTTGCTTTATTGATTGATTAAAAAGACAAAAGAACTTACCCAAATCTTCTCCTTACAATTTAAATCAATTGGTAATCTTCAATAAGCATTTGCATCACCTCTTGCAATCAAACAATATTTAACTTGTGAATCTAATCTGATTGGTTTAGGATTTAATAAATTTAAATGTGATAACATTTTTGAATTTAAGATTTGATTTGAATGATTAGATTCCCAAGATTCACAAAACGTTCCATTTGATTGAAACTGATGAAATTCCATTGAATTCACTTGAATTGGTTTATAAATCAATTCATCATTTAAAGAATTAATTTTTAATAGGCTCCTTTTCCTGGTTCTGCAAAAAATAGTGTTCCTGTGTTTGTACTGTTTGAAGGGTACGGATCCGTTGATAGGTTCGGTGCAATTATAAAACTTAAGGTCACTTTTTTATTGATGGATAATGATAAGAATATCAAATATTGATCTGAACGTAAAAATCCTTTGGTTCCATCGATTGGATCTAAAGTCCAAAACCTTTCTCCATTCCCTCCTTTTTCTTCTTTACAATTCCTTATATTTATGGTTTCTAAAATTTTGGATGGGTTTAGTTTTTTGGGTATACTTTCTTTGTTCCATACTTCTTCATCTGTTTCTAATGAGAATTTAGTAAATAATGTATCGTTTATTAAGTTTTCTATTTTGCTTGAAGTTATGGATTTGGATGAGCTTCGTAATTCTTTGATTTCTTCTTCTCCTATAATCTTATCAATTGGAAAACGTTTTGAAATTAATAAATTGATTGATACTTGTGAACCATAATCTCCAACTTAAAACCCCCAAAAACAAAATAATTAGTATTTCAAGATCGAAAAGGCCCAAAAAATGTTCAAAAACTTAAGTTGTTACTGGACTTTTATCTTCTTTGGTTATGATTTGATCTTGAATTAATTTTTTAAATATTTTTTGAGTTAAGATTGTTGATTTTAATTAAATAAATGTAAATTCGTAAACGCCCCCACCTTCAAACATAATCTCAGCAATCATGCCTCCCCTTAGGGTTAGGCATAAGACCTGAGTCTTCGTTCGAAAGCGAGAGCTTACAAATCCACATCAACCATGCCACCCCTACTGTTTCAGCTACCACTGGTCGTAAAGACGACTTCCTGGTCAGCTGTTGAGGGGCGTGAGGAATCGCTTTCCTACGATCCACGCTGTGAGCTTTATACTCCATTTCCCACCTCCTATTATAAGTCACTCATTGATATTTCGGCTTGGCCTTCACTGCAATTGGCAATCTATTAAGCATTACGAACGTCCAATTCGTCATATTCCATTTTCACCATTACTATATTACTCAAGTCGGCTCTGTTCCAACTCTGCATCACACTTTTACTCTACCGTATAATCTTTCCTTATCACCGTCACTTCCCGTTTCCTATTATATGCCCTCTACGCGTCATCTTCCCTCCCATCTCGGATTGGCATTCTGCCTTATATGTGCTATCACTACAATTATATTTCTCTATACACTATTACTTCCATATGCACAATTTACTCTTTTACGCACTAGGTAAACTTCTTCTTTTCCCTCTCCGTAAAAAATTTTCAAACCAAGTATGCCGCCTTTCTTACAACTGAATCCGGCTACTTCTCATCCATCTTCAAACCTCGCTTCCGCAACAATTACATTCTATCAGTTGCTCTATCTATATTTGACTCATTCTCACGTCGTTTCACCCTTTATTTGTACTACAACCCCTCCACATCTCCATGTGTCAATTTCCATTCCCCACGATACGCTTTCTCTGTATTACTAAAGCTTCATTTCCTCAGATATAATATGCCTGAAAATTATACTGGTACGTCCATCTTCAATGCGATATATCATCTGCGTCCTCCGTAAACCTATCTGAAGTACTCTCATCTTGTAACTATACTTAGTGCTCTCCTCCCTTTTAGACTCTCGCTCTTCGTCGTCTCTCCTTCCAAATCCGTATCTCTTTTCACCCTCTCTCCCTGCACTCACTGCATGACGTCGTTACTACCCCCTCCACCTAATTGTTGACACATCATATAATCTCTCCTCTCTTACTTCACTATTTCATTTTACGTTAATTTAGCGCAATACATACGCATTCAATTTACAGCGCTTATGTCTGATTTCATTTACTTCTTCACCTTGCATAATTTCTTATCTTCATGCTATCCATCCACCCCTTCTGTTAGCCATCTCTTTACGTATCCAGCTTTACATGTTTCTCTTCATATCATCCAACCTCCCATCCATTACGCATTCACTTTTTTTTCTGTTTATATGACCTACCACACATTTCCCAGTCCTAAATTTAGGGCAACCATTATATTGTTCATTTTCTACTCACCTCAAGTCTCTCGTAACTTTCTACATCGGCCCTCTATGCCTACCATACTGACGATCCCTCCAATTTATCCAATGTGTATATCGGCCTTGGCCATATTCCCAACCAATGAACATCTTCGAACGTCTGCCTATCTGTATACTCACGTCCCCTTACACCCTAATCACATTAACTTTGTTCATCGTCTATTATTTCTCGCTTCTCTAAATATGTCATACGTTGACCTCAACCCTCTCCATTATTTAATCTCTTCTTCATCACCTCATATCTTCCCATTTATCACCTGTGCGGATCTTAATTTCTATTTCTTAACCATTTGGCTATCCCTATCATACATATTATCCCAATCCTCAACATTTCTTTCACATATATTTGACCGTACGTATCTTCATTTCCGCCATATCCTATCTCTCAACCTCAAATCTCATCCTCGTCTTACAACTCGCATTATCATCTTTTTCCACTATTAAAATCAAACCCTAGATTATACTCTGAATTCATTCTCCCTACTTCTTTTGATTCCTCATCATCATCGTTTAGTTCCTAACCTCACATCACATCCTATTTTTGCAAATTTTCCATATCCAGTCCGCGTCGATAATGTCCGACTACAAACCTACTCCCTACTCTCCCTCTCGACCGTCTAATGGTAATCAAGCTCGAAAGCGTAATCATCCTTTCATTGTATCAGGAATCTTCGATATATCAGTCAAAGTACGTCTATATGTACATTTCCTTGACCAGCTATGAATCTGACCATTTATCGGGAATATAGGTCGAACCTGATGGTAGCGGTCAATACGGGAGTTGCACTTGTCAAACTACTATTTCTACCCTCAACGACGAGTCACCCGATATTGTCGAGTGGGTCATCAATGCCACTGCCTATGTAGGCCCAGACAATCAGCTTGAAGCTGGCAATTGTTATTACCTCAAGGGACGTCTACTAGCCTTCAACACTCAAGCGACACAATCATTCTATTTTGAACCAGATCACCATGTCTTCGTCAACACCTCTGATGGGCTCCCTGGAGGTCTTGCTAATACAGTCTCGGTCACTGGAGTCGGCCTAATCCTATCTCGATCTGTCGAGACTGTCAGCCCCGGAAAAGATAACGTCACCATTGTTGTTAAACATAGCGACTATAATCCTTTAGTAAGTCATTGTGTCCATGTTCTAACTTATCCCTTTACTGATTCAATTCTCCAGAATCGCGCCCAGGAAAGCTTCGAAGTGCAATACCGCTGCAACTGGTCCAAGCTCATGGAAAAGTTACAAATTTTGTTAGTTCCTACGCGCAAGGTTGCCATCACGGGCAATATCACTGGTTGGATTCCATCATCACATACATGGGTCGTCAACGTCCGTTTTTCCTTTCTATTAAGTTCCGTTATCAAAATTGGCATGATTATACTTTCACTTATCTCCTGCATTATAAACTGTTCACATTAGATCACCGGAGTCAACATAATGACCGGTCCCGAGAACAATTACAATTCTTCTGGACCTCTCCCGACACCTTCTTTGACCACGCCTGGTGGACGTAGCCGAGGTAAAATGTAAGCTCACCAACGTTCAATTCCAAATTCAATCTCTACTGATTTGCTTGCAGTGCTTTTACTGGTAATTCCACCAATGGGATTGAGCCTCATGCTCAACCTATCGATGGACCACAGGACTCCAGTCAGCCCTCTTCTCCGTCGAAGGGTAAAGGTAAAGCGCCAGCTAGGCCTCGTACCTCCCCTCTTAAGGCTGCTCAACCTTCGCCCGTGGCGTCTTCTTCGAAGACTAAGACTAGCATCGCCTCAAAAGCTAAACCTACCCGCTCTCCAGCTAAGCGCATGAGGGTGGTACCAGAAGAAATCAACGACGACGCCGACAAAGAGGAATGCGATGAACTCGACATGATGTAAACCTTTATTACATACTAGAAAATTTGTGGTTTCCCCTGTCAAGCTCGTATTTCTGCTTGTACTTCCACGTTCCATTGGCCTCAAATTCCATGACATCATTTTTATTTCCGTTTTGTGAAGGCGTATCCATCCTAATAAATCTCACTGTTGCCGAAGCTCAGTCTACATTTAATACTCCATGTTCCGTTGTCCTCCAATTCTCTGCCTTCATCCTTTATCTCCGTCTTGTGAAGACATATCCATACATTGGAATTTCACTGTTCAAGAAGCTCCTACATTTAATATCAACATCTATATGTAAACCTGTCCATCCCACTGATCCATATCGGGTAAAATATTGCTTTAATAAGGTTCCCATTTCACACATGGATGAGCATTTCCGTGTTTGTCTTTCAATTCATAGCGTCACATTACCATTTCCTTAATTGTCGGTATTATCGTATCAACTAAGTCATCATCCAGATTTGACTATCACTCTCTGTCATCATTCAGAAGTCAAGCCTTGCCATAATCATGCCTCGATTACTTATTGAGTCACTCTTCGTAATCAATTATTCCTCTATATCAGATGCGCATACGCCTGATGAGTTCTAAACCTGTTTTGCCTGCACCAGAAGACCCCATGCCGGACTCCGCTCTTTTTCTACATTCAACCTACCATGTATTCTATTGATGTTTGTGTAAGCGTCATTCTTTAATCTCAACACGGCGGTCCTTATAGATCGTCCGGCAGTCCAAAACACAATCAATCAAGTTCTACCTAAATTAATATTTGTATCTGCCCCTCGGTTCATATCTCACCTATCCTAAAAGTATGTTGCTACACGGAACTAAGTTATACTCTTCATAAATTATGTCAGACGCTACCGTATCCTTACATATTGTCCTTCCCAAAATCTGCATCCTGGCACTACATTCTTCAGCAAAACTACGCACTCTTGCTCCGTCTTCGACAATGGCATTTGCCATATCCATAAACCTCATTCGGTGACAACTCCCCTCCATCTGCCTTTATACTTATTCACGGTCAATTATTTTGCCTCCATAATAATTGCCTATGCAATCTTGACCTATCCTTATCCGTAAATAAGTTGAAACTTTTCCAATGGCCACTACCATGACGCTGCGTCCCTTTCTAAATTCGGTAGAACATCAGTCTCCGCACAATCCATCCTGAATTAGCAACTTACAACTCGCATGTCTTTACTATTTAAGTCCTCCCATATAACCCTCCATATCCCTTCTTCATTAATTATCCCTGTCAATCCAGCTCTTGACATTCCCATCCAGTTGATCTCAAAACCATCGGTTTCGTTAAAGTTAGTCCTAAAATTGCTCTTACTTACACGATTCAATGTTTTATTCAGGCTCCATGTCCTTGTACGTTCTGCCCAAACAGCCTCCTATCACCGGTACATCTCTCACAATGCCGCCACTCAAGCACCTTTCGACTTCTATGGTCCGTGGTTTTGGGTTGGTGCGTTGGGCCGATCTCAGTTTGAAAACTCACGCTGTTCCTGACTGGATGATTGCTCAGTACATTGTGATGTACATCGAAGGTAAGCTTATGTCTTTATGTTAAAAATTTTACACATGACTGATTCCTCGAAATATGTAGAATCTCAGGCATTACCTATGCCTAAACAACAAGATAGAATTATTACTTTAGATGATTGGGAGACTCCCGTGTATCTAAACATTGCACTTCCACTTGACGGGGACCCTGAAGTTGTCATCGTCGAGAACTAATTTATCCTCGTATCACATCTGTAATTACCCTTCAGTCCTCTTTTAGGATGCTTATGTAGAAAATTTTGCTTTATCGTACCTCCTGTGTTCCGTGCATGGTAATATTTATCTTCCAGTTAAATGAATGCACTCCTCATAATTATTTCTTAATAAGTCAATTGGAATAAATTTATTGAAATTGTCAATATCTGATCTACGCATAGGACCATACCAATGATTGTGACTTTCTCCCCCTCACTCATTTTGTATGATCTGATCATATTCCTGTCAGTCATCATCTTATTTTTCGTATGCAATCCTCATTGACAATTGTCAAGAAATATCAGATGTTAACCTTATACGTCCCCATTCCCCATTATCGCTTTCACAATTTTATCAATTAAGTTACCCTTCTCAACTAGTCTGTCTTCATAGCCTACAAATCAGATCAAGCTATCATTTACGCAGGCCTAACATGTCAAGCAGTGTAGGCCTTGCGGTTCGTAATCCATCCGAAAACGCGGAGATCAGTATCCTCCGTCGATTTCCGCGTCAAATCCCTCATTACCTCGGCCCTCAAGATCATGTCTGCCAGCATTGCGGAGCGTTCAGATGGGGCCAAGAAAGAACTCAACAGAACATCAAAGATAAGAAGGAGGTCTATACTAATTGTTGTCAAAAAGGCGATGTTAAGCTACCTATCGCCGACTTCGACGGTGATCCTATTCCGGACTATCTCCGCCATCTACTCATTGCCAATGACGCTGGTAAGTTCTCATCTGAAGCTTAAATGGATATCATGTACTGATTGTTTCCGCAGAGTCTAAAGAGTTTCAAAAATACATTATCAGACACAACAATGCCATAGCTTTTGCGTCCATGTGTGTCGACTTCGATGGAAGCATTACCGGACCCCACAGAAGCCATACATTTCGAATGGCCGGTGAATTGAAGCACCTTATTGGCTCTATGTATCCCGACAACCTCAATCGCCCCGTGTTCGCACAAATATTCTTTCTCGGTGATGGTGGTCAGGACGAACTCAATAAACGCATGAATTGGCATACGAAAATCAACGACGCCGGCCAGCGTCAAGAGATGATCAAGCGACGCACTCTCCGTAAATTGCAAGACCTCATGAACGATGTTAACATATATGCTCGTTACTTCAAAATGGCAGCCACAATTTTAACCCCTGGAAGCACGAAGCGCATCATGCTGAAAACTCTTCCCCCTGGACCCAGAGAATCTCGCACCTACAATCGTCCTAACTTCGAAGAAGTCGCCGCGTTGGTGGAGGAAGGTCAACCGATCAATGATCAACCTAGGCAATTCATTATGCATACTCACGGCAGCGCACTCAAACCAATGACTGATCTCCATACATCATATTTCTCTCTACGCTATCCCTTACTCATGCCTTACGGTTCTCAATCGTGGGACAAGAATTACGTTTCACCAACAGCTGGGACTAATCCTGGCCGTAAGTTGTGCCTCTCTCTCTACCAAAGTTGGCAATAACTGATCCTGATTTATGGTCTTGATTAGGCACTCGAGAGTATTACACTGTCACCAGTCTCGAATGGGGAGCCTATCTACTCTTCGAGCGTGATACTCATTTTCTGCCATACCTTCATGCTCGCCGACTCACCCAACACTTTGTTGTCAACCTCTATCTATGTGTAGAGAAAGACCGGATGCGTTTCTATAAAAACAATCAGAGGAAAATCAAAGCAGACTTATACAAAGGTATCACTGAAGCTTTCGACCGTAATGACAACCCCACTGGTCGTCAATTCATCCTCCCTTCAACATTTAAAGCAGGTCCTCGTCACATGAATGAGTTATACCATGACGCCATGGCGTTAGTCAGGAAGTTCGGGCCACCCAGTCTCTTCATTACTATGACCACTAATTCAAACTGGCGCAAGATTCAAGAGAATTTGGAATACGGAGAAACCTGGGAGGATCGCCCTGATTTAGTGGCCCGTGTGTGGGGCCTGAAGCTCGCAAAATTACTGGATGAGGTTGTGAAGAAGCGAAGACTTGGTGTTGTGGTTTCAGACTTGATGGTTGCCGAGTTTCAGAAGAGGGGACTTCCGCATGCTCACATCTTGCTAATTCTTGAAGAAAGCTCACGCCCTTCAACTCAGGCCGACATCGATCTGCTTGTGTCTGCCACTATACCCAATCCTATTTCCGAACCTAAACTACATCGACTTGTCACCGACTCAATGCTCCATGGGCCTTGCCGCGAGCATATGGCTTGTTATGTAGATGGCCGTTGCAGGCTGAATTACCCTAAACCCTTTGCTGAAGAATCTACTTTATCAAACGAGTCATTTCACACCTACCGTCGACCCAACGATGGTACTTCTGCACGTAAGGGAAATATAACATATCACAATGGTCACGTTGTTCCTTATAATAGGTATCTATTATTGTTAATGGAATGTCACATAAACGTTGAAATTCCAGTGGGAACAAAACCTATCCGTTATCTTTATAAGTATCTCACTAAAGGTAGTGATAAGACAAGGGTTCATTTCGAAGCTGAACAAGATGATGTCCCCGAAGGAAGTAAGTATTGTTATCATTTCCGCTTCCTCATATTATCGCTCACTAACATATGGCGATAAACACCCCACTTAATTTTCAGCTGTCAAAGTTCACAATGAAATCAAAGATTTCGTTACATATCGACACATCAGCGCTCCTGAGTGTAAGTTCGCCTACATTCTGTTTATCATTCTTTCATCATACTAATCGATTTCTATACCGATAGCTGTGATGCGTCTTCTCAAGTTGAAAATGAACTCCCACTCACCTTCGGTGCTGGCTTTGCAAGTTCACCTTCAAGACGAACAATTGGTCTACTTTAGTGACGAAGACGAAGCTCAGCATAGACTTCGGGTTAACGCACCGCCTACGTCTACCCTGATTCAATACTTTTGACTCTGTCGCTTGAGTATCTACAACGTCAAATTGAATGTATATGCTAGGGACTGCCTCTATGTCGACCTACCCCAGTATTTCCGGTATCACAAAGGTCGATTTCATCCTCGCAAAAGTGACAAATTGAAATGCATTGGTCGCATTCATTATGTCAAACCGAACGACGGAGAACGATACTTTCTGCGCATGTTGCTCTGCACGGTAAAAGGGCCTCAATCATTTACTCACCTCCGGACAGTAGAAGGACATGTTTGTCCTACATTTCGGGAAGCAGCCGACAGACTTGGCCTACTTGAATCTGATCTCCACCATGTTAAAGCCATGGAAGAGGCGTCTTTGTGGGCTACATCTCATCAACTCCGACTATTATTTGCTCTCAGTCTGGTATATGGTGGAGTTACGTCACCTGATGCCCTTTGGGCCCAATTTTGTAATGATATGTCTGAAGACTGTGAACGAAAGTTACTGCGCCTGGGCTACGAAGAACCAATTGGTGCAGAATTGGGCGCAGCCTATGCCCTCAAGCTTCTTCGGGATTTAATAGACAATATGGGTGTCACACCTAAAAGTTGTGGCTTATCACCTTCATTACTACGTTCAGCTCAGGCATTGGTCGATTTCGAGGCGGCCCATTCCGCACTATCCAATGGACCTACGCCGGAGATTAGCGCCGATATTTTCAACCAGCAAGAGCCTACTCTGAACGTTGATCAAGCAAAACTATTGAATTACGTTCGTTCTAATTTTCAGGACGGACGTCAGACTATTTGCTTCTTGGATGGACCAGGTGGCACAGGCAAAACATACACATTAAATACTATCTTACACTATTTTCATGCCTATGAACCTTGTCCGCTAGCTGTCTCCTCATTGGGTGTGTCAGCTATATTACTATTGAATGGATCCACCGCGCATTCCGCATTCAAACTTCCACTCGATATCGATGAAGACTCAACTTGTAATCTAAACGGGCAAGACAAATGTAGTAAGGCAATCTTGCAGGCTTCAATTATCATTTGGGATGAGATATCCATGCAACATAAACATCATATTGACGCTGTCGACCGAAGTTTAAGACACATCTGTCGTAATGAAAATCCCTTCGGCGGTAAAAGTATAATCTTTGCAGGAGATTTCAGACAAATTCTTCCTATTGTTCCCAATGGATCTCTCGCGGATCAAAAAAACGCCTCTTTTAAGGGCTCTGAATTATGGTCCTTAGTTCATCCCTTCAAGCTAACCATTAACCTACGACTTCGAGATGCGGATGGAACTGTTTCAGAGGCTTTAGGAGATTATGCAGATTGGTTATTACGTTTAGGGAATGGTTCTCTTCAAAGTTCAAATCGAAGTCTGATTGACCTGACTCATATGCAAGTCGATATCCTGCCACCATTCACTCCAATACCCAAAAAACTGCTCTCTTGGGTATATGATGATTTTTCTCATATGATTTACACTAGACATTGGGGTAACATCAGCAAATATTATCGTTCCCGCTCTCTGATTACTCCCCTTAATAATACGGTGGACGAAATTAACAACACAATGTTGAATAAAATCCCTGGTGATCCCTTTGTATCCATCTCTCTCGACGAACCTGATCTCGATTTTCACGATCCTATCACTCCAGAGATGTGCAATGCCATCGATTTTCAAGGTTTCTCCGAACATCGGTTGCATTTAAAGGTTGGAATGCCGGTGATGTTGATACGGAATTTAAGCTTAGCTTCCGGGTTGTGCAACGGTACTCGTCTTTTAGTAATCAGCGTTACGACTAGAGTCTTACAATGTAAGATCATAACAGGACCTAAGGCTGGTACTATGCTCGCCATGCCTAGGATGAAGATGGTCCATCGTGGTACTGTCGAGCAGCCCATCCCTTTCACCCGTAGGCAGTTTCCGGTGGCGGCAGCGTTCTGTCTCACTATCAACAAGTCTCAAGGTCAAACACTCGATAAGGTGGGGGTTTTCTTATCTACACCGGTCTTTTCTCACGGTCAGCTTTATGTCGCACTGTCTCGATGTAAAGATATGAATAATCTACGTGTAGCGCTTGCAACTGCGTCCAACACTGCTACTACCCCTAACGTCGTATATCGGCAAATTTTGCGTAACTAATCATTCAAATGGAAAGGTACGCGCATTCATCTTAATTATACGAGGTGTCTATCTACATTTATTTATGCAAGTCTCTAACCTATCCTCCGCTTATAGGACCCTTCTATCCCATTATAAACCCACTCTGTCTCATAAATTTCATGATGTGACTCTATGAATAGGTTTGGTTAAGACTGTCCAACTTTATACTTATTGCTTTGTTACGATACATGCCCTCAGCGTTAATTTTAACTATATGCTTCATTTCATGATAAAGATAGCTTTGTGTCCAAATAAATTTCACTGGAACTACGTCCACAATATTTGTAAACTTTTTCCTAACCTCTGACTGAATAGCAGCCTTCAGTCAAACGCAGGAATCAAAAGCTAAATTCATAGACGTGCCAAAGACCAATCTGGGCAGTTGCGTTTTAAGGCTTTCTTAATCCCATTACCCTTTGTGCCATGAAAATGCCGCACATTTTCATAACACTATTAGTCTCACGTGGTCATGAGATGTGCGTACACTAGGCTCAACGTGACTCAACTTCAAGTATACGCCGTTGTGCGATGATGCATGGGTTCATAGTATCTTAAAAGTTCACGTTGTTCACTTGTACAATCTAGATAATCACAAATCCTGCTCATGGAATAATAAGATAGAGATGGTCAAACATTGATAACGTCTTAATAGTGTAAACAATAAGGCATGATATGGGTAAATTTATCACAAAATAAATTGACGCTTTTAGCTATAACTCCACATCGTTTATGCTCTTGACTTTGTGGGCAACGGCTGATACCTCCCTCTTCTACTTAAGCCTCGCATTTTCCTGCGACAATGATATCATACATCTACAGACTCTAATAAGCATACATATCTCCTATGTTCTCGAAGTCAGATTTAAGCAAAATTACAAAACTTACCCTAATTTTCCACACTTTCATCAATGGATCATGCCCTACGATATGGCCGTTGATTAAGACTTGATTACCCGGAATGGCCCATAGGCTAGGCTTTAGCATTGACTCTAAACCTGGTTGGACGTATTGCACTAAAAACGAGACAGAACAGTTGTTCTAAGTGGAAGCATGATTTTGTGAAATATGTCAATAACTTTGCGAATTATTTGAGTAGATAGACATGAAACCTACCACTCGGTCATAGTCAGTATGCTTAATCAATATAATAGTTGCGTTTAAAAAGTCGTTTGGATCTTCACGGATAATCTTAACAACAATTCCTAGACCGGAAGTATGTACTTTGTTGATCATATCAGACTCTAAGTGGACCGGAGTTCGACATATTAAGGAATGAGAATTATCATAAAAAAATAAAGCAGGACTTTGACTGTTATAACCTAATAATCTTCCACTCAAAGAGTAGGTTCCGTCAATCTTTATTGCACTCTCATTGACATGATCAGTGAATCCCTTGATAGCATGTTGGATGATGTTGCCATCTTTATCTTCGGTTATAATAAGCCCGTGGAAGAACTTTGATACTTCTTTCGCAGAGGGTTTTGGCTGGGCCTACAAATTTAAAAATTTACTCAGATGGAAAGTAAGTATTATGCTCAACTTTCACTAACCTCTGCAATTATTTCAAACACGTGATTGATGATCAGCGTATGTTGATGTTCTTCTGGGCGTGTCATGTTGGCGTCAATATATTCAATAACTTGAGCGTCGTATTTCGAACACATGGCTTCCGTCTCCATAATTAAGTTTAAGTATCAGAAGCTATATGAGCAGAAATTTATAAGGGAATTGGGAGTTTGAATGATTATTGTTGTTCACTCTTGGAAGTCAAGTTAATCAATATAACTGATGGTGTCTCTGATTGTTGATTGTCCTACGATCATTACCTATGATTAGTATCCGGCTCTAACGTGCTTCAATGGTCTGCCGTTCGCGAAAATAGCCTGTACTATCTAGGCCCTCAGTCTGATGATGGTACAGATCCTTGCTTCGGTGCTCAGTCAACACTGACAGTGGAGATGATGGTCACTTTTGCTACGGTACGCGTCAACTTTAATCATTTGTCAGTAGCGTTTCTCCCTGACTGATGATTATTTCGACTAACTATAGTAATTGTAATGTTTTGTGTCAATTGGGGCTCTACTGACGTGGTAGCTGACGCAGGTTATGTAAGCAAGAACTATGGCACCTCCGTGGATATGTCTACATTGTCCACCCTTAGGCGCGATCCAATTCTCAACATATGGCCGCGAAGTATAATCTAGGGTCGTTGCTATGAAGTCATCCCTCAAGTTAACATAACATTTCAATTTATGGACTAACAATTCTCAGTTTTCTATTTATCTTGCATCCCCATAATACTACTAATTTGATTGACTTGAGTCCCTGCGTTTCATAATGCGTAGGTGTTGAATTATGCAATATTCGAGACCTCCACCTCTGTGTACGGTCCGTGAATTAACGCTGATAATAAACTAGCAAAATGAGATCGATCATATTTCCCACTCAAACTGACATTATCATCATCATCATGTCGGATCAATTCTCATCCATCAACTCTGCACTCAGGAACCCCAAGTTTCTCAATATTTTGTACTCAAAGTCTGACCAAGGTATGTCATCAATGCAAATGAATCATTCACTTATTTGTAGCTAACTTGAGTTATCCCGATTAGATATTTCAGATTTACTCGTATTACTGTATAAAAATGGGCAATATGCTAATGTGGAGCAATTTGGAAACGTAGTCTACCAATTTTATAACCAAGGCACCCTGGACGCTTATTGTACCTTGTCGTTGTTGGAATTTGTTTACGTTCCATTTTTTATTCCCAGTAAGTAAAAAACAATTATGCTCTATCTCTCAATGTTTTCCTGAAGATTTGTATGTCATTTAGGTTATGATCAATTATTGATAATGGAGTATCAGAAACGCGGAGTTCCCCATGCGCACTCAACCAACGTTATTATAAAAGATGAAGCTAGAATCAGCCTTAAGGATTTACAAGGGCTCACGAGTGTTTGAAATTGATGAGGTCTGTTTGATGGGACTATCGCATTCAAGAAAAAAATTAACTCTGCTTTCTTACCCTTTATTACTCCTCAGTCTTTTAAGGTGTGATCATGTCAAGCGTTAATGTTTTAGTACATAGATACATTTAAGTACTGAAGACACTTGTGCAACTGCGATTGTAAGGTCAATCCTATTACCTATTGTTAGCTCAGAGCAATACCTTTTTTTATTGATACTCTGTCATAGACCATGTTCAGTGTATGCTACATAAGCTTATAGCGTAATTGTATGATGATCGAAATCCAAGTTCTCAATTTGACACATCGAGTTCAACATATTGTGTAAATATTTTTGTTACGGATAAGGCTTTTCACACTATCTGCCGAATGGCTGCCTTGATGTCTGAATAATGGTCAACTCTCATATCCGGCTCCAGTTATCGCTTCAACTAGCATAAGCTACGTTAATTACTAACAATTTCGTTCTGACTGACAAGACTCAGCTATGCCGTGGACTGATATTTTACATTTTCTACGAACAATAACCGTCGGGTGTCTTCCAACGTGAAGATTATTTCCTTATGGAGAGCTACTAATGGAAATGATTATAGTATGAATTATGAATTATCCAACCGTTCTCAGAATGGAATCCATGCTTTTGACGTTTAAATTGGAAATCTGCCATTTATGTCTAATTGTATATTTTCGACAGTGCTAGGATCTCTGATCACCCTGAAGCTGATACTGTCGCCTATAAAGTCAATGACATACGTCCTGATCTTGAACGTTTATCCCCCCATCTCATCGACTATTCATCATTTCTATTATCTTAATATTTATCTTATATTTCAATTCGAATAGTTCTGCAGATAATCCATCATATTACCATCTGAACTTACAGTGACCATCAATTGTCGGCTCAATTCATATCGTTTACAATTAACTTCGATTTAAACTATACCTGTTGATATTATGCATACCTTTACAACTAAAGGTGTCGTCACGTCAGACTTCGACAATCAACTTCTTCTGAACGAAGTTTACCAGCAATTCAGTAGTTGTACGTAATTAATTTTTATGACTGCCTAGCATCACATACATTCTTCATATTGATGTCTTTCTTTCTTTCACTGTAAACATCATTCAACTTCCCCAATTTGGCAGAGGAAAATGATTAATAGTACAGTTTTTCATAAAAGAATCTAATACTGCACACCTGGGCCATTTCACCCACACTACATATGTGCAGCAAGCTAAGTCAATAGTTGTCTATCATGTACATACAGGTCTGCTCAGTTTTTTGCCCATCAGAATAAATAAATCACATGTTATACCACATGTAACTTTTTCGACTTTGAAATTTTTTTCCCAAAAATTCACTACATATAATTCTGTAGCTGCTCAGGCAATATTGTTGAAGCTATGTCTTAGTAACAGAAAGTGTGTTACATGCAGTTGAGTTGATGAGATCACACCAAAACATTGAGTCAGTGTATGTAGTCAATCTTTTGGAAGCTTTTTTCAATCTGAAAGAAGTTACAGCATGTATTACATATGAATAACTTGTCCTGATGAGCAGATAACTGAGCAGAACTGTATGTACATGATAACCACATATTCACTGAGCCTGCTACACATATGTAGTGTGGGTGTTATGGCTCAGGTGTGGAGTGATAGACCATTTTATGACAAATCATACTCCCAATCATTTTTCCCTGCCCACTTGGGGAACCCGAATAATGTCTGCAGTGTTTAGGTGAAGAGCCATCCTCTCTTTTGATATCCGAGACTGGAGTATGTATCAAAATGCATATGTGGGAAAACCATGCGTTTGTTATACGAGGCGACAGGGACGATAATCGTGAATGTTTGACATTCAAGTTTGATTCGGTTATTGATGAAGCTGATACTACTTGTAAGTTATATCCATCTCTTGTATAGGAAGAGTGATACTGAATCTATCGACCCAGATTATCATGTTAAAGTATTTGCTTGTAACAGCAGAGGTCTGCCCATGGGGAATGGATCAACTTATCGACTCATAAGCCAGAATGTGATTAAATACATTAGTTTGACTCAAGCCATATTACCTGACAATTAGTTCTCGAAAACGAGAAACTCCATGTACCTATTTATATAACACCGTAATCTACTAAGATGTATCTCTACTTTACTTCGTTGAATGAATTGTACGAGGAATACATGTATCATTTACGTGCGGCTTTGGGCAGTTTCCCTCAGTATTCACTTTATGCTCATATTATCTTGAGATAACTCTCATGCGTACACTTTCAGCATAAGGGCGGGCATGCCCGCCTGAGGTCTAGTATTGATGAAATTCCAATTTGTTAAATTTATTTTATTGATTAATCCAGCCGGATATGTACCAGGTTGATGGAAGATTAAGGCAATTGAAGCAGGAGACGAACGTCCTAAATAAAGACAAGATTCTTCGATTGTGGAAGATTTCACATATCAGATTTGGTAACTTCAAGTCAATCATATCAATCAAAACAAGCTCGGTTAGAAAACAAGCTTGGTCAGTGAAACAAGTATCGATATGTCGGTTGTTGGAGGGGTTGTTGAGGTGTTGGGTGTTGGTAATGATTAGAAGGAGTGTCAAGGAGAAAGGCAAGAGATGGAGGTGAGCGAGGTGGAGGTGAGTAAGAGGTCGAGTGTAGGTAATTAGAGGCAAAGGGGGTTGATTGGGGATAAATGAGATTGGGTAGGGCAAAGAAGTTGTCAGGCCGTTTGCTGGGTCTGCGCTGGGATGCCAGAAGCGTTGTGATCGGTCTAGGAGCTGAGGTTGGGTGGCGATGAGGCTGGCGATGTTGTGGTGTTTGATTGGAGGTGGATCAAGTAGGTAGCTGGTAGACGGTGTTGAGGCTGTGGTCGCTGTGGTGGGTTGGTGAGCTATTACTGTTGTGGAAGGGGGGGATCGAATGAGTGGGTCACACCAGGTCACACCTCCGTTGTCTGTAACAGATCTGTCAACATATTGACATATTCTCAACCGGTATTTTGGTACAAAACCAGTTTTAACCCAGGTTTGGTACTTTTGTACTTTTGTCAGACACAACACAAAAAAATATACCAATAAACTCTTGAAGCGCTGTATTTACATGCGTTTTTTTCTTTCTTTCAAAGGCTTGATTATAATGGGCACAACTCTGAGTATGTGGAGGTGTGCCGGCTGATTCCTGAGTACTCATCTATGCTCAAGGAATACTCAATCAAAATTAAGATGAGCATGCTTGAGCAAACTTGAGCAAGATGGAAGTTTTGCATGCTGATCACCTGAACACAACAAAAAATTGTGACATGAAAGGATATTTGGAAATGATTGTTTTTGGAATGAATCTGGAAGTCTTTTCATGCTCACCTCTATGTGAGCTCTTGTTTTGGCCCCTGTGATCATTACATTTATTACACACATGCATAACTCTTGTGTTACTCATGTGATGAGCTTTGTGAAAGGTTATATTACTTCGTGTAATCTCTCGTATTGATCTACATGTACTTACATATGTCATTACACATGTAACTATATGTAATTTCATATGTAATTGGCTCTTGAAACTGAGCCATGATTTGTAAGTATTATTTTTATTATTTTATTATTATATTTCAGCCCTTTGGTACTAGCTATAGGGCTCAGGGCTGACATATGGGCAGTTTGTGACATTCACAATCCCCCACAAAATCACCAAAACTTCTACATGGCCATCAAGAAGTAGGATTTTACCAAAATGATGTTAATCACCTATCCATGTAATTCCATTTGGAACAACTTTCATTGTTACAATATCACGTTAGGCCAAATATTGAGTGAGTTATGCTCATTTTAAGGCATCTGCAGCACCCCAGAACATCATCAAATCCTCTACATGACCATGACCAAGTAGGATTTGACAGAAACTGTGCCATCAAACTATGTATTTGATTTAGTTGTCATCAACTTTTATTATTGAACCATCAAGGATTGGCAAAGACCTGGTAAGTTATGCTCATTTTGAGGGCTCCTCAACTCACCAAAGCCTGCATATGTCCACCAAGAAGTAGTTTTTCACATAAATGGTGTTATTAAACTCTCCTTGTAATTTGACTTCCAACGAGTTTCATTAATGAACTATCAAGGTAGGGCAAAAAGTGAGCAAGTTATGCTCCTTTCAAGGCCATCACAATACTCCTTTCTCAAAATACTCATTTTTACACAATTTTGTACTCAATCTTATTCAAAAGTCTGTGAGTATTCATTGAAAAGTGGGTGTTGGTAGACAATAAGAAACTCTGCAACAACTCAAAATAAATAGATTCATGAACAGAAAAGAAACCCAACCATTGAAGAAGATCAGAAAAGATCAGAATCAGAGAAGATAACCCGAGTAGATAATAACCAGACTGAATAATTGGAAAAAAGAAC